TGTAGTCCCATGTGAAGAAAACAGAAACAGTAGATAGATTAAAAGACAGAAAAGTTTCAGTCTCCTGCAAAGTTGTTGCGGGAGACTGTAATAGTCAAAGAAATTTTTCTGACCGACTGAAAAAAAAATATTTATCACAACAAAACATTTTTTCCTAAACGTCTTTTCACGGAGTAAGATCTTTTTTAACTCACTTCCGAATTTAATTCTGTAAATACTCATTTCAAGTAAACTAAATAAATATCATAAATGTATAACATTGTTACTATAACATTTAAATAAAAAAAAAAGCCCAGTATGTGTGTTTACAACTGCCAACGTGTTTTGTCAATAAAAACTTGCTACACACATCTCTAGAGAAGTTCAGAGAAAAGTGTCCAATTGCCTCTATGGATATTCAGTTTCCCAGGTTTTATTAAAATAGTATCAAGCTGACAGAGACATTCCCAGGTTTTATTAAAATAGTATCAAACTGACAGAGACGTGTCCCTTTGCCAGAGCTTGAGTCACACACACACACACACACACAGAGAGAGAGAGAGAGACACACTTTGATAAACACACACAACCTGATGAAATTAGTTAGAAGTTATTTGGTTTCTTGATTTTTATCAGTAACGGAAAATTAAAAAGGAAAGAGGAAACAGGTAGATTAGTCAACAACCAATATATCTGATTCAAACTGTGGTTTGAGTCAAAATTAAAAATAATTTTTTTCAGTTTTACAGGAAACACATTTGTCAAAAATGGCAGTCAGTGATAAATGACTCATTTGTTATTTTAGTGAGGACTGTGTTGACCATAAACGGAATGAACAAGTACTACTTGTTCAACTACTTTCATTCATTTGAGTTTCTTTCAAGTCTGTATGAACTTGTAGGAAATTCCCCCAATTTAAAGTTGTTGTTGTTTTTATTTTGTTTGTTAAATATTAATTAGTTTCAATGACATTTGTGATGTTTTGATCCAAGTCAAAAATCCCCCAGTTTTAAGTGGTATCTAAATACACATAGCAGTTGGTTATAAAAAAATCTTATTAGCATAAAGTCCATTTGGGTTAAGGTCCATATTCCATCCCATTTTCAATGACGGACCCATTAAAACAATAGATGTCCGCAGTGTCTTCTGGACCCTCCTGTAGAATCTGCTTTGCAAGGCAAGAAAGCCATTTTCAGACACTTTGGTTCCCATTGTACAAGCCTAAAGCTAACCTGCATCACAGCATTGATTTCCTGAAACTAGTGAAAAATTGTTTTGCCCTATATATTATTATATATACTTAAACTTATTTTAGGTAGAGTGACCATTGTCCCACACTGTTTGATAGTGGTCTAATAGATCATTGTTTCCCAAAGACTGGGTTGCGCCCCTTAGGTGGGTCGCCAGAGTTTTTGTTTTTTTTTGGTCATCTTGCACCATGTTTCCCAGGAGTTTACGTATAATGTCTACTGACTTGGGTTGTGAAGGTTTGTGACTTTTAAAATATGGGTCACCAAAAGAAAAGTTTTTTAAACACTGCAGTAGATCATACAAGGATACAAGGATTCTAAGAAATATTATATATAAGCACATGTTGTTTGTCTTTATGGTTACCTTTTAAAACAAATGTCAAATTGGTCCAAAAACCTGTCTCCTCCAGGCTCGTATCATAAATCCTCCAGTGACAGGACAGGGACTGTTTTTGCTGTTGTGGCGAACATTTCCTTTCGCAGAGAGAAAGTAATGCTTTTATTAGTCGGCTGAATGGAAAATTTATCAGACTTGTTGAGACTTTTGATTGACATAGACACAGATTGATGAAGTGTAAAGACAGTGATTAATTACATGTCACATCCCTCCTTTCTTTGACTTGGAAATGTTTTGTTTTTCTTTCACGCAAGAGCTTTGTTCCTATTGTGTACCCTTATATGCTGTCATGACAGCACCGATGACATCATACTCTACAGGTTACGTTATGTTATCTTATTCAGGGAGTTACTGTGTAACTGTTATAGAAGAATTTCTGACCAAGTCAGATCTTCTCTACACGATGCATTGTGATTGACTTTAATCTGAAAAAAAGAAGCAAATATTACAGTAAAAATAATGAAAAAGACAATGTTTTAATATGCCTTCAATCTTTTATTGGATAAAATGCTTGGAAACATACCCAAGGCCCTCATTGGCCTTCTTCCTCCTCCTGTTCAGCTCATATTCTTTTACATAAAATATTTAATTCTGAATAGCTATGGTAAAATGCATTCATTTAAGATAGGAAATTGATATTGTATTTTATTGTATCACTTACTTGAGCTCTACAGAAACTGCACCACTGAGGGCTTTAATTAACAATGGGATGGGAGACGACCCTGGACAATATACAGTTCTGCTTTGGTTGTACCTCTCAAGTACTTTTAACACGATTAAGTACAAAGTTCTGATTGATATACTTTAAGATGTGGTCAGTCTAAATCAGTCTGATTTTGAATGGCCTTCCTTTTTACCACCAGTTTTGGTGTATTTTTTAAATCAATACTCTTTCTTCAATATTTTATTCCTGAATAATTAAAGTGCAGTGATCTCTCCATGTCCGTAATGTTGATGATTTTCAGCTGCACTGCTCTGAGTTCCACATACTGACTTTAGCACATGCGTTAGCGTGTGTGTGTGTGTATTTGGAGTTGTCATACTTGTGAGAACACTGATCTATTTTTTTAAACTACTATTGTTGTAAACCCAGTGTCCTTGTGGTGACAATTACAGCTCCCCACTGAGCTATTCTAAGGTTCAAGATTTGGAGTTCTACATTAGATTAGCTAATGATAGCATTAGCGGCTAAGACAACACATTATGTCTCTGTGAAGTTTGTGTACTCGCACTTGTACATGCGTTTGTGCATGCATGCATGTGGGATTGTTCTTTTTTTTTCAACCTACATCTGGTTTTCAGAAGTTCACACTCTGTTGTGTAACTCTTTCTCTCTCGTTCCCTTTCTCCTTCTCACTCTTCCCTCTCTCTTTGTCTCTCCTTGGATTTTAGGCCAAGACATAAATCTTCCCATTTATTTTTTCCATATTCAGCATAGCTCATCTGTCTTTCACTCACTTACTTTTCTAAAGTCATTCCATAAAAACTCAATCGCATAAAAACTCTTTCTCTGTCTACGTCTCTTTTTCTTCTCACCATAGTTGGATAACTGAGGTGCATTAGGTCTTTCTGTACAGTTGGACCGACTACTGAATTTCGTCTGTTAGACACATGTTTTTACCTCATCTGATAATTTACTGCCATCTGTTTGGACGAACCAGCTGGGAACAACTAGATTCCACTGGAATATTTCTGTCTGCTGTGTGTGTGCCAGTGTGGCATCGTCAGCAGCAACAAGCATGTGTGAATTAGACCAAAATTATTTTCAGAGTCAAAAACATTTGATTTGATAAAGTTGATGTGTGCAAAATGAATGTTGCTTTTTGATAATATTTGAGATATTTTCTGTATTTTCAATGGAAGCAGAAGGGTAACAGTCCCCCTGTTACCCTGTCCCTGTTACTGACTAATGAACCTCTTAATAAAACCTTTGCTGTTATTTTAATGGAAGCCAATGATGAAATCACTGACAACCTTTTAAACAGTTTATATCTCAGAACTGATGAGACATCTGGTCCTAGATTTGAGACCATGTGTCATACCAGGGCACTAATTGCTACATGCATCACAGATTTACACCTGATAATATCCTATTTATTATGTCAAATGAAACATGTCTGCTAAAATGTACTTTGTAGGCTTTCTTTTGCAGCTGATATTTAATTTCAGTGCAATGTTATCTTCTTTTCAACCTGTTTAATCACCAATTACATTTGCCTTACTAATGGAAATAAACACCCGCTGATGGATGATTTGGCAGAAGTGTCAAATGACACTCTTTGATGGCAGATGCGGCCGATATGCTTGAACCTAATCTGCCACAGACCAGTGTTTATATGAGATCACTTCATCTGGACCAGAGGCCTACTAAGCTCATTAGGTGGCGTAAACAGTTCCTGCACTGTCTTTGTGCTGCTACTGCTGCGGCCGAGTCACAGTGGGATCAGGTCGAGCTTTGTAGCCATGTGCTAATGTGGTTTGATGGAAGGGGACACAGATAGATGAAAGATGCTGTCTTTGCTTTTATCAGAGACTGAGGACAACAGTTGGTGCTACCCTCTGGATTCTGTTTTCACTCTGACGCTTTCCATCCTGTCCTCTCCCCATCATTTTTGATGTATAAGCGTTGCAATGAAAGTTTTTTACATTTAGCCCAAAATTTGACCTCTTTAATTTTGCGGGATTTTTCACATCACTGTTCATGATCTTGTTGATTGAAAAGTGCAAATTTTTATTATAGAGTTAAGTGCTGTAATCCACGTGTTCCCAGGTGGAAAGACAAACAGAGGTCCTTTCAGACATATATAACATTATAGGCAATATATAACATTATACATTGAAAACATATAACACACAATTATGCTTGTATATTGCGTGTGTTATAATGATTGTAAACGTCCATGTTTTTAATGACCTGATTTCCAGGACTCGTTTAGACGCTTCACTGTAATACAGACAAATCCCAGACAGAGTGTGATGTGTGTCACTGAATTATAATCTGATGTCTGGTCTCAAATATAGATTTTTCCATGTGTGTCATTTCACACTGTGTATAAATGTGTGCGTGTGTCTGTGTGTGGTCTGTGTCTTTGGCCCCTCTGCCGTGACACTGCAATTGATTTCCTCTGTTAGAACCTTCTTGCCTGAGGCGTTTTAGTATTTTCAGCAACAACACGACATCCACCCACGATGGAAGGATCCTTCATTCACTATTAGCAGTGTGTGTGAACGAGGAAACAGCCATTGGTTTAAAATGAAACAGAAAGTCACAGCAGGAGTAACGAGTTAGCAACAGATTGGAGGTTGAAGATGGATTTTCAGACAAACTGGACACTGATTCTAAATAACTCTTTGTTTTTCTCCATGTTTTTCAGATCCCGTTCTCCCTGGTGCAGTTTCCTCTGTGGGAGTACTTTAAGGTATGTATCAGAGCTCTGACCTTATGCTCGACTCATTCCTTTTTTATCTATGCATTTCAGTCTGTCTTCATCACCTCCCCTCCCTGTCTTACCACGCCACCGTGTCATCATTTGCTGTAATTATTCTCGGCGGTAAAAATGCAGTAAAGTTAAAATATTGTTTTTATGCTCTGACGCATTCCGAGCTGCCTCGCCCATCGCAGGCTCCTGCATCACTGTGGCAAGCATAAATGGGACTTTACACCCTGTTTTGATGGGTTTTCAATTCTCAGCTACCACCCGACAAGTATTCAGTTTATCCGACATTTGGGCCTAAGCAGCTTTATTTGTACCACACATGAACTCCTTTTTATGTCCCGGTTTCAACTGCTGTCTCGTGACCCCCTCCGTCGCTTCATTGTGTGGCCCTGAAAACATTAAAAAGCTGTTACTTTTTTTTTTTTTTTTCAAAAGGCGTTTTGTTGGAGTGACATCATGTCTCAGGGGCACAGGAGGCGCAGAGTCAAACATTTCAGATACAATACGAGACACAGCTGTGTGTGTGTGTGTGTGTGTGTGTGTGTGTGTGTGCGCTTACATGGAGTTTGTGTGTAGTCGCATCTGTGAGAGTTGAATTTTGCCGTTTACAAGTGTTCTTTGTTCCTCAGTCAAAAGACCCTCTCTCTCTATTTCTCTCCACACCATCTGGGCACATCCGTTGGCGCAGAGTTGAACTGAGCTGGAATCTGGACCTTCGCTCTTCTTCATCCAGATGTAACAACCACTTAAGCCCTTAGTCGAAAATCCCGTCCACACCAGTTTACACCTGACTCTTTGGCAGTGGGAATAGATACAATTGACATTGAAAGTCTGGCCCACATGACTGCAGTATTTTAGCTCTGGCCCTAATCAGCAGGACTGTTAAGTCTTCTAGAAGTTAATTGCCCCACAATCCCTCAAATTACACTTGAAATTCTCAGAATAGAAGTTAATACCAATAAAAGCCACAGTTTTGCCGTCTTTAGTGTGAGATTTCAAGCTAAGCTAACAGCACTTTCATATTTTTTTTTCCATAAATTTCATGTTGTATTAGAAGTGGAAATTCTCACTGCTCTGCTACATTTACATGCTCTGGTGCATCGTGTACTCTTGAAGTGATCTGGGTTTAGTTCCAAATAAAACTCATTTTTTGGCTAAAAGGCCTGTGACAAGAAGAGAAATGAGACTTTCTAAATTAGTTTCACATTTCTTCAAATCATTTCAAACTGACTATAGCCAACCTTTCTCCTTTTAGACCTTCACTGCGTTTTGGTCTTCATCTACCGTGACTCCAAAAATATTTGCAATTTAAGAGGTTGGACTTTTATGCTTCATTTAAACACCTACTAAGGCAGCCAAAAATCCATGAATCCAGCCAATAAGGCATGATAGGAACTCAAATTAAACCAACAAAACACGAAACTTAAACTTAAAAAAACAAGAAACAAAAAAAAAACTTAAACACATGTTGTGCAGTGACCACTTCCCACAGGAAGTCCTCCAGGTGCAAACCCTGACCCTGACATGGGTTCACAGGTCAAAAAGTTTGTTTTCCCAGGTTTTATTCCTTATTATTTATTCATGAAACGGAGAAGAAAAAAGGAGGAAGAGACTCGGAGAGGGGGAAAGAAAGGGAGGAATCCCCCAGCGCCAGTCCTTTGATGTTGAAAACAAAAATCTCCTTTTTAATCTGCCCTCTAATGGAATACACATGATGCGTCCTGAGCCTGTACATATGCTTTCCGGCAGTTGAGCTATTTTTTCTCTGTGTATTTACTTGTTTGCATTGTTTGATGCACACGAGTGTGTGCGTGTGTGAGGGTGAACTTGAATGAGGGACGGACAAAGAAAATATCAGTAATCGCTCCATGTTGTTTTTTAATTGAGCTTCCTGAGAAGTAATCATACCATAAAGCGCCCGAGGCAGCTCAGCTGTCTGTGTGCGTTTAGTGAAAAGATCAACATTGACAGCCTTCTCTCTGTTGTACAGAAACTAGTCATGCTGGTGCAGGTGGTGGTGATGGGGGGGGGCAGGGGGTCACCCTCATTTTCTGACAGTTTGGAGTTCAAAATTTTAACTCAGTAGCCAGTGGTGTGGGCAGTGGTGGCTTGGTGGTTAAGGTTTCAGGTTCGAGTCCACCAGCTGTGTCACAATGACAAGTAGTTCACTTTCCCTCCTTACTTTCCTTCAGTCACCCTGAGAGCAGTCACCAGGACAAATGATTCACATTCTTATGTCAGTTCTGATGTAAAATTATTTTACACAGCTTACTGTCCTGACGACATACACTTCACACTGACATTACCCTGAATCTGTCAAGTATGGTCATGTGACACAGGCCTGCCGGACTGGTCAGTCATTCTAATCCCATGATGTCCATCCATCTTTGTTCTCCTTAAATATATACAGGTGGAAATGTGTCAATGTGTTTGTCCTGAAGAGCAGAGAGGAGAGATTAATTATTCACCTCAGCTGAAGGACCACATTCCAAAGTTTAGGTCAGGGATCACCAACTCTATTTGTCAGAGGGACAATTTCTTTCCACGGTAGACACCTTGCAGGTATTATTTGATGTTTATTTTGGAAAGTCCCGATCCGGACTGTACAATTCGGTGGGCTGGATTCGGCCCACAGGCCACCAGTTGATGATCACTGCTTTAGGTCATTTGCTTAGGTCAAGTTTTTTTTTCTGGAATGTCAAAAAAAAAACCGTCCCATCAGACAAACTGCTTAAAAACAAAGCATGGTGAAGTGGGAATGATGCTGTGTTTTCCTGCCTCCCCCTGGTCCAATTGCACTTCTTGGGAAACAAATAGTGACATCATTTGGGAGCAAAGGCAACTCAAAAATAGCTGGTTCCCAGCTGTGGGCCTGGACCTCAGACCAGACCAAAGTTCAACATGTGTTTTCACTATGTCCTGTTATCTCTGCTAACTACAATCTCCCCCCCCCCTTCCCTTTGTCCCCCCTCCTACTTTTTCTCGTTCTTTCATCATCCTCCTCTATCCACAAACCTTCTCTTTCTCTCCTGACATTTCTGTCTCTTTCTCCCAGACTCTGTGGTCGCAGAGGCAAGGTCACAGACTCCACTCTTGGCAGGCTGCAGTGTGCGGATCTTTTGCAGGTGCAGGGGATTATATGCTGCTTTGGGAAAGAAGAGTGGGTGGTGGGGGTGGGTGGATACGTGGATAGGTGAAATAACAGACAGGACATGTTCAGGAGGCAAACCTTACCCTCGTCAGCGCAGAACTTCTCTATTGGAGATGAGTGAAAATAACAACCAGGGCATTTCACCAAACCTAAATTGAAAACCAACAAACCTCAGCTGCTCTGCACCGATTGTAAGATGAGTTCTTGTTATTAGTTCCTAAGTCCTTCAGCCACAAGTAAGCCTAACCATAGCTGATTTTTATGGGTTGGTCTTAGCCTGGATGAATGTCTGGGGAGAAACAGCGGAGCAGAGTAGAAGACAGGAAGGATACGATGGGAGTGATTCCTGGGTATGAGGCCCTGCAGCTGTGTGACCTCCGGAATACTGAAGCCTGGAGTAGTTAAAGAGAAGGAATCCTGCAAGACCTGGAAAAGTAGAGGACTTAGGGGTAGACAAATTGGAAAAAGAAAAGCGCAACCTGCTGAGATAAACCTGGAGGAAGGAATTTAATAACACTTAAATAAGGAAAAAAACCCAAGTATTAACTGTTGGGGGAATAACAACTCACTTTCATTTAGAGGAACACACACTGTCAATAGTGTGTGTTCCTCTAAACATTTTAAATTAAACGCACACTTAGTGTGTGTTCCAGAAACATTCGCTTGGCTTCACAGAAGTCATCGTCACGTACGGCACTCTGTACTCTCTGCTTTTCACATGACACAAAACGGGCTCAGTACAGTACACAGCAGGTCGCTGCATTTACCAGTACTAAATAAATGAGTTAACTGTAACATATCTGAGGGGAGGCCAAAAATGTCTAAGACTGACGTTGTGATTTTAGAATGGTCCAAATGTGTAAGCTAAAATATGTTAATACATGTTTCGTAGGTATATATGTATGTATGTCTATATATACATGTGTATATATAGACATATAACTAAGAAATATGTATTAATATATTTTATATATTTATATATATCAAGTGTTCATGTTAATCATATTTATCTGTGAAGGCTGTAAACCTAGACATTCTTGTGGAGGTCATACTGTATATATATATATATATTACCGGTAATATATACTGTATATATGTTAAGACAAACTAAGCAAAAAAAAAGGTTTTGACTGTTGAATAAGGTTTCAAATAAATAATCAAAAATCTAATTATTATTTGACATGTTTAAGAAAGTTCCTCCTGAGAGACTAGTAAAAACAAACAGACTAACAGAGAAGGAGGTTCTGAGAGATACTCACAGATACA